GTCAGAGGGTACACAATGAAATTTGTTTTTAACCGACTTGAAAAAAAGGAGGAGGTTCTCAATTCACAGTATTTTTTGTGTGTGTGTATGTTACACAATGATTAGATTAGAAAGAGAGTGCCTCAATGTTGATCCCATAAAATATTCCACCTCTAAGGTTGGCAAACTAGGGGATGAATCCGGTTTCGCGTACTTTCCGGTAACCGATTTCAATAAAACTTGGCAAATAGATAGATGTAATTCCGTGAAGTTTAGAAGTCTGTTTTTTTTTTAATAAAAAAGTTACAAATATTTTAATGTTTATTATTATTTATCCGATTGCTATGTAACTTTCATGATTTGTTGTGCCCATGCCTGCAAAAGTTTCTGAAGCATTAGATCCCACTGCGGGGCACGGGTCTCAATTAAGGAGAGGGTTAAGACCATCGTATGCATAAGTAAAGACAAACAGTATTTTCTTTCAGTAGTATTTCAACGCATAAATGGTATATACAGTTTGATTTTGAGTCTGAGTGTGTAAAAAAACAGAAAATTCTCTTGCTGCGGATACCTTAGCGATCAATGAAAAGTATGGCGGACAATTTAAAATACAGCATTTTATCGAAATCAGGTTTGGGTTTCTAGTGCTTAGATTATTCTAAGAGGGCCCTCTTACGCATACCTGCGCTTCTCCAGGGGTCCCTGTACCCGTTTAAAAAACGATGGTCTAGTAGCAATCTTTTGAAGTTGAGCCACAGAGGTAATAATAACGTGTGACTTGCAGGTAGTTCTGTTCGTGTGCTGCGTGCTGGCGCTAGCCACAGCCGCTCCTCAGTTCTTCACAGCCGGTGCCTATGCGCCTTTCGCCACGCCCTATGCCAGGGTAAGAGTCCTTTAAAGAACAATATTGTTTGTATAAAAACCTTTTTGTATCATAAATCTTTTTATCCATTTTTCACTTTCCAAGCGGAATTTTTCTTTTCGGCCAGTTGTTGGTACCTTGGTTAGTTTTGTTTACTCGATTACATAAATTTAAAAAAAAGTTTCCTAAAGCTTACTGTTTGTGGAAGAATTCTGCGTATTTTTGCCGCCAAGCAGTAGTGTCAAGTAGTGTGTGTTCCGGTTTTGAAGGGTAAGGGTGCTGGTGAAATTACCGGCGCATGGGACTATTCAACTTATGTCTCAGAGTGACGTGCGCAGTGGCAATGCCCCTCAGAACTTTGTTAATCGTCCTTCACTTGTTATTATAAAAAACGCAAATTTTGAACTTAAAGTGTAGTTTATAAGCCATTACTGTATTTCTATTTTTAATATTATAGACTTATTGATTCAATGTCTTACCGATCGTTCTCTACATTTGTCCCGCTTCTTGTGAAGAAATGGGTCGCGATCTACTTAGCATGATGCATGCGTTTAGTTCAAGAATGTGTTATTCAATTTCATGGCCCCCTTTAGGCAATAATTATGACCACCAGTTGGTAGCAGGTGAGCTGAGAAAAAATGTCGTTTGTTATGTAATGTACCTATAATAATCCAGTTTAGGCTAGTTCACCAACTTGGCTCAACGTGGGTTGGGGTCTTCACACATCTTTTAAAGGTTTGAAGTTTTTTTACGTTCGGATTGTATTTTCAGGGATGGGTAGATAATATCTCTTAATATTTCTACTGTAAAGCAGCACCACTGTAATTCGGGATTTAAGGATAGGGAATCAGGATAATCACAGCCATACACGAACATCGTATTACCCACGGCTGGCAACACACTTACGATAGAAAGATTTTTTTCTTTTTTTGAATTTGTTTAGTGTTTTAACATTATAATGTTATAATGTTTTCGACTGAAGAACTCTGTACCCGGATCATGCTGTAAAAAAAAAATTCTCTAAATTAGGAAATGTCTCTAGGCGATGGTAATCTCTCGATTAAGTGAACTATCTGATTGTTTGCTGGTTCGTATATCTTAAAAAACCGAGAACAAAGATCTGTAACAAACGCAAAGAAAAATTTGTAAAGTCTGCTGACTCGATCTGTAAGCTCAGTTCACAGAGCGGTCGCCCTGGTATGATACAGATGCAGGTTCGTGTTCTGTTAGATCGAAGGATTTTTTTTACGTAATCAATGTTATAAAAACAATGTGTATTTTTATAAGCGATTTAACAATTATTTTTGTTCCATAGACCGTAGTTGCCGGGCCTACAGTTTGGAACGGCGGCGCTTTCGGTGGTCGTTTCATCGCGCCTGGCTACGTGGGACCTGCATTCTTTTAATCACCATCACTCACCTCAACACTGGCCGTCCTGTTCGCCACCGTATATACCTTTCTAAATCGTTATATTGGTACCTTTTGTAAATATCGCTTCTTTGGGTATATTAAAACTTCAGTTTTTGCTTAACCATGTTTTGTTTTTGTTATTACAACCCGACTAAAATATCTGTGGAACTCGAATTCTGTCCCTTTTCGTGCAACGAAACCCCGCTCTCGTCACCAGAGTGTCGTTTCCGAAAAAAATGTAATAAAAGGGTGTACTCTCGAGGTCTGATGCTGTTCCAGGTTCATTTCAGCTATCACAAATGACTAATTATTTTCCGCAAATTAAAGTCGATTTTTTACTTAACACAGTGCATCAAAAAATCACCGTCACCAAGACAACCAGAAAATAAAATATAAAATGTGCAAAGGAGTCCGTATCAGTCCCATTATCACCAAGAAGTCAGAATCTGAAACGGGGATCCCATGGAAATCGAAAAAAGCCGATAAGCGTACTTTGAGGTCGGTTTTTTTAAATGAAAAAGTTACAATATTTAATTGTAAAATCGTGGAATTATTGATTCCATGCCCCATAATAATATTAGTAAATAAAATAAGGCTGTTTACATTCGAAACAGAAAATGACTAAAAAATAAGTTGGCGTATTTAAACCATTTATTTACTGCACATAACTATGGTAAACAGAACACAGAACAATAATAACAGAACAGCGACTGTGCGTGGAAGGAACTGGCTCAGTTTAATATCCTTGTGGCTGTGTGCCACGCCGTACTGATTTTCAACCTGGCATTGTCCACTCATTGTTCTTCTGAACACAATCCAACCGTCACGGTATACATCGAGTAGCCTTCTATATGTACAAATTTATTCATAATAACATTTAATGTACTATTAATCAACCAAATATAATATTTAAACTAGACAATAATCACAGTCACGTTCGCTCCTTGTCCGCTCTGTCCCTATAAAACAAGGAAAAGCAAGACTTCACGTTTTACTCGTAAGAAGTTGTCACTGTATTGACAGGCAGGAGTTACATTATATGATTTTTAATTCGGGACTTAATCATGTATAAAACATATTTTAATTACTTCGACGTTTCGGACGCATTGCAAAACCATGGTCTCGAAGGAACTGAAGCGGCATGTCAGCTTCTTCTAACCGTGCGAGTTTTTCTAACTACCACTTGATCTTCATTATTTATTTATGCACTAGGGTTCTCACTAGACCAACACACAACACTCACGACATCCGGCGACTTTACTTTAGAAGTTACATTACTTTTTGTAATATGTGATACATTTCTTTTTTCCATTTTTGATAGATATTTCGGTGGATGGTGGAGTTGTGCTATGAGTAACGTGACCATACGTCCCACTTTGAGCGAAACAGTCCCGTTTTTTAGCTTCGTGTCCCGCTGTCCCCAAAATACGTAACAATGTTTGACAAAGCAGGACACACGTGGCATTAATTTAAAAAATACGGTGCGAAAGCCAAAAATACTTACGTTTTTATAAAGCTAGCCCAACAGACTACACAACTTTAATCCTATTTTTGAATTTTTGATCATTAAACAGTTTTAGGTCTGTTTTAAATTTTACTGAACCATTAAACATTTCGTAACAATCATAAACATGTATTTTATTTTTAAAACAATAATAAATTTATAGGCGCCTTACCATGAACTCTTATTACGATTCAGTTTAGGACCTAAAATAAGCCGTTGTGAGACAGCGCTACATGAAGTGTATATCACCATCCCGCTTTTTTGTCGTTACGAACTTATACTGAAATGTAATAAGAGTTCATGGTAAGGCCCCAGGTGTCCCCCTTTGTGGGAAAAATATAATGGTCAAGTTAGCTTTCATTTTACAACAAAATTGTGTTCTCGATTCAGTAGACGCGCATTGATAGACTGTTGATAATGCAGTCTTCTTATCGTATCAATGACATACACTGTAATGCTTGTAATTGTGGAGAAAGAATTTGTCAATCAGCTTAAGGTATTCGTCGATTGTCGCCCAGGGTCCTTTCGTGCACCCCAGATATTGTAGTTTTTACACTCGAATTAAACATTTTGAAGTAAGAACTATATATTTCACACATTTAGGTCAATGGTACTTTTCTTATCTTAGTATGCAATATTATTATTATAATTAACGAAATGAACGGCTGAACGAAATTAATTTATAATTAATTTTTTATTGCACACAAAAATATATTAATAAATTACAGTTATAAATTACACAGAACTGTAATGTAAAACAAGTATAACATAATAAGCTGTACAATAGGCGGCCTTATCGCTACGTTGATTTTTTTTTCAGGCTACCTTAAATGAAATGATTTTTTCAAATACCAAGTGACGCGACAAACCGTGGTAAGCGACACACCTGTCTATAACAATTGTAGTGCCACTCAGAGCTTTAAAGCGCAAAGATCTTAGGGGCACTGCCACTGCGCCCGTCACCCTGAGACATAAGTTGACAAGTCCCATGTGCCTGTAATTTCACCAGGACCCTAACCCTTCTAAACCGGAACGCAGTAATACTCACATTACTGCTTGGCGTCAGAAATGGGTGGGTAAAGTGGCAATACTTCCCTGGACGAACTCTTTCACAAGGACTGCTACTATAACTGACAATTTATATGGCAAATCGTAACCTATCTGGAAAATAGGGAGAGTGCTGTACGTGCACCCGGAGCGGTTCACCTAAGGCACTAGCTAGCCATAGAGAATCGAATGATGTCCGTGCAAACGGGCTGATCTGGGGTTAGGACCTGACAGAGGGTCCCTGTGCGGGCTCGCTTTCAAAACTTATGTAGAGATATATGGGATTGGCAAATCGAAGTGCTCTCTAGTGGTCCCAAGAATAAGTAACATTTTACATATAATTTTCTTTCGTGGTCGTTTGGGACAAATGTGACTATAAATTCACGGTAAAGGTACAAACTTACATCAAAACTACTTAACCTATGAGATAAGTAAGTATCAGCTACATAGGGCGCATTATAAGTTTCCGGAACTGACCACTTACATAAACAACATTTATACTGTAATTACAACATATGAAAATTGAACTCTTTGGCTGTAGAATACAGTTTGTTTCATCTGACTGTCATTTGTTTTTACATTGTGTCGTCATTTTAGAAATTGGTTGTCTTCATCACCATGGATTTAACTCGTAAAAATTTTCGAAGTACGATTTTGTATGACTTTAAGTGTACGTGAATAGCTCAGCGGAGCTTCGCTCGGCTTCAACCTGCTTTTGGCGACGAAGCACCATGCAAGACGACTATTTATAGCTGGTTTGCAGAATTCAAATGCGGTCGTGTGAATCTCAGTGACGAATTTCGTGATTGTCGCTCGTCCACTGCTCTGAACAATAAAAACATCGATGCTGTGCGCCGTATGATCAAAACAGACAGGCATGTGACATACCATGAGATTTGAGCATCTTCACGCATAGGCATGAGTCAAATACAATCAATAGGTACTACACAAACATTTAGGTGTGAAACAGCTGTGCTCTCGGTGGATCCCACGCAATTTGACTGAGGCTCAAAAAATGTCTGGTAAGCATGGCAATCATGCTTACCAGATTCAACGAAGGGGCGTGAAATTTGGTATTGGACATAGTGACAGGTATCGAAACATGGAGTTATAGTTACGATCCCAAAACAAAGTAGCAATCGAGCGTATAGGTCTTTCGATATGAGCCGTATCCAACCAAAATCGCGCGCGTGCATGCATTTATAGTTTTTTTTCTTATTCATTCCGGAAACTTATAGTGCGCCCCACGTATTTCTTAATAGTGGCAAGAATTTACTAAAGTTATGGTTGAAGAGATCGCCTAATTATTCAGTTATCTAACAAGTAACATGTGTCAGAATAAAACTTGTCCACAATTTGTAGAGCTGACGTATTCCTAGGCTCAAATGAACGGAAATTTGACGGAAAATTACTTAAATGCAATAGTAAAAGTAGGGTATTCGCTGCGTCTCACATGTGACTCGGCGAGACTCGGTGACGAATAAATTTCCATTAAAAGGCACTGAGCTAATCTTCTAACGTTTTTATTGCGTTTATTACGCAATACGACACAACAATTCTAAAATTAAAAAACCGAAAGGAATTAATCTATTTGCTTTTTAAATAGTCAAGAATATCGCGCAATCTTGATGTAATAAGGCTACGTCTTCAAAATGAAAATTTTCAGGAAAGAGGTGTTAAGATTTTAAAAACAAAATCGGTCGATAACTTTTTTATGCTTAAAATTTCTATATATAATTTTTTTTAATGTAGTTCTTTCATAAAAACACTACTGATGATGATCACATGTGGCATCATTTATTGTGACAATTAGGTGATTAACTGATAAATAACACTCATAAGAACGAGCACGCGTAATCATCAACAAAAAAAAACGTATACACATAATTTTTATCTTTGCTTGGTTTCAAATTAGAGAATGCCCTCTACTATAAGTACCAGAGCAATGGAATTCACTCTAGGGCACTTCCCTGAACATCGTGATTAGAACTAATTTAGATAAGGTCATTTCCCAAATTGGTCCTACTGGGAATATAGCCCACGACCTCCTCGTCGACCGCCCATGGTATAAACAGTTAGGCCACGTATGTCGTCATTTAAAACGAAACTACAAACATGTTACAAATCGGCTAAACAGTTTACTAGCTCAGTTCAATTTATTCTCTGCAGTGGAATGCGATTACATAAAAACCGAACTGAGATACGTAGTATTTACTGACTTTTAGTTATTTATTTATTTATTTATTCGATCATGCAAAACTAACAACTTCAAAGTAACAGCTTTATTCCAGAACAATAAGCACTAAGAGCGGTTAGACACGGCGATTTTTCGCAGCGCGTCTGTAGCTATTCACACCCGATGCAGTCGTTAACTGTCTATGTTTGCACACACGCACGACTTAAGCAGCGTTATAATCGCGAAGCAAACGCAATGCAATTGCCATGTAATCGCGATGCAAACGCGGTGCAGGTTTTTAATGAATTAATTTACTTATTTCACTTTTAAA